TTCTGATGTAAAGTCTCTGATGGTGACTTGCTATGGATTGTTAGTAAGTTATTGTGTGTATTTTCTTGTATGTATTGTAATATAGGATCATAATATAATTTCCACAATAAAGGTGAGTATGTTTCTCCTTGTTCAATTCCTGATTCAATTGATATAGGATTAGTTAAGCCAAATGGAGTAATGATTTTTGCTTTCCTTCCAGTATGAATATTTTTTATCAAATTTATGAAATTTTCTGGGAGGTCTATTCTTTTGAGAGTGATGATCAGTCTTTCAATGTTTACATTATCAAATGCCCTTGACATGTCTTGGAACATTATCCATGTTTCTAATTTGGTATCCCGACAATGTTCAATAGTGTTATTTATTATTTGTATTGGGATTTGTGGTGATGAGTGTTTTTGAGCAGCAAAGTTATAGCCTTTTAAAATATTGTGTTCTCTGATTAATTTTTCCATTCTTATTGTTAAGATTTTTGTCATGAGTTTTTTTATTGGTTCAATGATAGCAATTGGTCTTATAATATTAATATTGTATCCCCAATCTTCTCTTTTTGGGATTGGGTAGATATGTGATGTTTTCCATTCTTCTGGAATATTGTTGCTTTTATAGCACAATGATATTAAGTGTATAATTAATTTCTGCATGTTGTAATGAGCATGTTTTATATGTTCATATGAGATGTTAGAAGGTCCGTGAGCTTTTTTTGAGGGCAAGTGTTTAATGATGGGGATCCATTCTTCTTCTTTGGGTTTGTCTAGAATATTTAGAAGTATTTCTTTGTGTGTATTTTTTGGTTGAAGGATTTTCCAGAATTCATTATCTTCTGTAATATCTGGTAATTCATTATGTTTAAAATAGTTGTAGAAGTGATTTTCTATTTTTTCTTTGATCATATTTGGGTTGGTGATAATCATGTCGTTTTCAATTATTCTGTCAATTTTAATATTGTTTTTGTTTTTGTTAAGGATATTGTTGTAAAATTTTTTTTGGTTAGTGAAAAAGTCTTCATTTCTTGCTTCAATAGATTTTTTAATTTGTGTCATTTTTTCTTTATTTAATTCTTCTCTGATTATGGTTTGTAGGTTTGTAATGTGATTTTTAATAAGGTTTTTAATTTCTTCATTGTTATTTGTATTTATTATTTTGTTTTTTAAAATTTCATTTTGTTGGGGGAATGATTCATTATATTTGTTGAAATTAATTTTAAGTGTATCTATATCTTGGATTGTGAGAAGTTTTTTAAGATTTTTGATGTTTTTGAATGTTTTATTTTTAATTTGGTTATTAGTGTTTTTATAATTTGTTATTTTTGTTTTTGTAATTTTTTTGTCACTTGCTTTGATTAAGTTGTATTTTATCAGGGACCACAGAGATTCTATATTGTTTAGTATGGATTTATTTTCATTGATTTTTGCAGCAAGTTTGTTGGTTTTCTTTTTATAATTGTTAATTTGTTTGGTATTTTCCCAATTGTAAACATATCTTTCTATGTTTGATGTTGTCTTCCAATTTTTAATTTTTATGTTTAAATCTATGCTTAGGCATTTATGATCTGTTTTGTAGTTGGGAGTATAAGGTTTATTAATTTTTGTTATTTTATCAACTATATTGTTATCTACCCAAATAAAGTCAATTCTACTGCTGCTAGCATTTCTTTGCCATGTGTGTTCAGTGTGTTTGTCAAATGCATATTTTTGGGTGTCTATGTAATTGTTGTCGATTAGGAATTCAATGAGGTTTGACTTGTTATTATTCTTTTTTGATGGTGGTGTTTTATCTACGTTTGGGTTAATGATGGCATTAAAATCACCCATCACAATTGTGTTTCTTTTTTTTTGTTTGTTTTCATTGAGTGTTTTGATTATTTTTGTTATTAATTCCTTTCTTGCAGTTTGTTTTTCAAGTGTTGGTATGTATATTTGCATTATATTTAATTTATTTTGTTTGTAAAAAACGTCAATGCTTGTGACGTAGTTATCTATTGATTTTGATTTGATAGTGTGTTTAGATACATTTCCATTTACTATAATGCCAGTGCCTCCTTTCCTGCCATCTGAGGGTGTCCAGAAACTAATAAGGTTGTAATTTTTTAGTGTGTGTTTTATATGGTTTATTTCGTTTTCATTTAGATGAGATTCACTAATACCATATATATTTATATTATTTTCTTGTATTTCATTAATAATCTCAAGTATCTTTAATTGATCTTTTAGGCCATTGACATTGTTTGTTGTGATATTGATTTTGTTTATATCTTCTTGGTATATATTTGGTTGGTTATTGTAGTTTGTAGTTGGTGCACATAATGATGTTGGTTGTTTATAAATTTGGTGGTTTTTGTTTGGGGGTGGTTGTTGCAGGTTTTGTTGAGTACTCATTAAAATATAATTGAGTCCCAACCTGGATTTGGGATTGGTGGAAGATTAATAAATGTATCTGGGAGATATTTGAAAATGTAGAGTTTTTTAAGGGTTTGAGTTGTTTGGTATATTTTTTTGTCATCTATGATGGGTATTGTAATTTTTATATTGTATTTGTCAAGTTCTTGTGTTGTTGTTGTTAAATCAGGTAGTTGTTTTCTTTCTATGTTTGATATTTCTAAAGGAGGTGTATCAATATTATCATTTGTTTTTTCTATTGATATCCACTCATCAGGAATTCTTTCAAAGAAATATTTTTTACCTAGTTTTATTACTATATTTCTTATATCAGTTTTGTTTGTAATAGGCAGAATTATTTCTTCGTCTACAATGAATTGTGCATCCAGTTCGTTGATGTTTTTAGGAAGAAGAGGTTTATTTTTAGTGTTTGTTTTTGGAACATTTATCCATTTTTTATTAATAGGGAATATGATCTCATATTTTCTTCTTGCTTCTTTAATGAATTCATTGGCAGTATTTTGTTCAGTGATTGGGAAGATATAATTGAAAGTTGTTTTATCTGGTGAGTTAGGTAGTCTTGGTTTAGGAGTAAAATAATTGTTTGGTAATTTTTTGAATATATAATATTCCTTTAATTCTTGTACTATCTCACGAAGAGTTTTCTCTGTTCTATTTGAGTTGAAAGGGAAGTATTGTGCTAAGTAGTTTGGTAGACCTTTTGGAGAAAATGGTAGAAGTTCTCTTGGTTTTGGAAAATTAAAATATGTGTCTGGTAATTTTCCTGAGAAAAAATATTCTACCCTCAATTTTTCTCTTACATTCCTTAATTCCTTTAACATGGAATATTTTTTGATTGGGAAAATCTTTTTCCATTCTACTGATAATTCTCCAGGATCATTTGGCAGTATTGGTAATACCTTTATGTATGAATCAGGAAGTTTGTTGGTTTTGATGTTGAAATAGTTGCTTAAAGCTCTTTTTGTTTGGTTTGCTAAGTGGTGGTATATTAGTGGTAGTTCGTATGGAATTTTGACTTTGATTGATTTATCTATTAAGTTTGGATGTGATGGTAGATCTGGTAATTCTTCTTTCAGGATTTCTCTTAGGGCAAGATTTATTTTGTTGTATTCAAAATTTTGTTTTTTACCTACAAAACCAGCAATATATTGTAGTTTTCTGATGGTATCTGAATGGTTGATGTTTTTCCATTCAATTTGATTGAAATAAGCCCAACCTAATTTGATTTTGATCATTTTAAAAACATTATCTTTTTCTTTCTTAGTTAGTTTGGTTCGTTCATGGGTATTTTTGTAGACATTTGTTGAGTTGAAAAAGATTTTTTCAAATTCTTTTTGGTGTTCAGGTTTAATTCCATTTTTGTAATTTGTGAATGATTTGAAAAAATATGTATCGTTACATTCTAACATGTATAATGTAGCAGGGGGGATCTGACCTTTTGTTACTGTAGATTCTACTTTTATATTTTTCCTACCTATTCTTATTAGTTCAATAAAACCTTCACCATTTTCAATTAATTTGTTGAAAAGATCCAGTTGAATTATTACTAAATTGTGATCTGTTTCTTCTTGATTTGTGTCCATGCTAGAGGTATTGTCTTCAATTGTTTCATTATCTGATATTAAATCATCAGTACTTTCTGATGATATTGTATTATCTATGTTAGTATCTTCAGAATTTTTGTTTGTATCTGTTTGATTTTCTTGATTATCTTGATAAGTCTTGGATGTTGATTGGTTGTTAGAGTTTTTGGAAATGTTGGATAATTGGTTTTTTGAGTTAGGGTTGGATGTACCCCAGAATGGGTCTTCTCCTGTCTTTCCTTTGTGGGTTGTAAGATTCATTCTTGTTTCATCTTCGCTTGAATTTATTTTTTCTTCGTGAGTTTCCTTTTCATTGAAATGTTTAGGTCTTTTATTTTTTGATTTATTATTGTGAATGGACTTTTGTAACATGTTGTTATAGTTTGTGTTTTTTCCTTTCTTCCTTTTGTTAATGTTAATTGTTTGGTTTGGTTGTGTAGTAATTTCGATTTCGGTGGCCTTCGGGCCAGATTCTTCCTTATTTTTTTCTTTATTTTCTTCCAATTTTTTTTATAATTTTCCTTACTGCGCCACGGGGTAAATTTTATTTTTGAAAGAAAATTTTTTTTTTTAAATTGGTTAATTTTTTTAATTTTTATATTAATCGATTTTTTGTTATGTTTTAATTGAATTTCTCAATAAGAATAAATAATTCATTTGATCAAATGTTAGCTGGCTAGAATTTTTTACTTAGTAAAATAATAAAAAACCCCGATTTTTAGTGAATTTATACAAAGTATGATATTTGTCTACTAAATTATTAGATAAAAAATTTATTCAAGTTCTTAGCTGGCTAAGGTTTTTCTACTGGCTAACATCACTAAGTGAAAGACATGTTAACAATAAATTTTTGAAATCTATTCAATAATAATTTCTCAAACATGAAATACCTTGACCATTTTCATGATTAATATCACTATTATCAATATCAGGTACTGGTGATCCATATTTCTTCATTTCTTCTAGTTCATCTTTTGGCTGATTTTTAACAAAATCACTGTTGGTTTCTGGTGTAATATCAATTATATCGTAACATGCAAGACTAATATTTCCAAACCATGTAAGTCTATGTATTATTTATTCAACACTTTTCACAAAAAAAAAAATAATGGAAAAACTTACTCATTGTGTGGACGTTTTTTTTTCATTCTGCCACAGTACCAGCAAATCATGTACATTCACCTTTTTATTACCAACAAGCCATTCTCCATTATGCTGAAGAGTTTCCTTTGCCCATTTGTCCAACCCATTATTGTCATCTATCATTGCATTATCTATCATGTTGCTTTTGTCTTGAAGAGCTGGTTGTGTTGCTATCTTTTTGGTGGGTGGCATTGATATACTATACTCATCTGTTGCATCATCAATTGCAGAAGATTGTGGTCCAAGTAGATCTCCCTATAAGGACAGATAAATAGGTAGGAAAAATGTTTAAGAAATACAATACAAAACAACTTACTTCTCTGTTTCCTACCTTAGTTGACCCAATGAAAATGCTTTCATCTTCACATGGTGGTGTAGTCAATATGTTTTGATGTCTTTTTGAAATTCGATTTTCCTTATAATCTTCAGAATCTTGTCTCTTTCCTAAGGCATTCTGGACTCTCTCAAGTTCTTCACTGTATTTGTGCTGATAAAACATGTCAATTTACATTATCTTGACATGTAAAACAAAAAAAAATAATTTTAATTCTATACCATTCATTGTATTATTAACATTCTCAACAGAGGAATTGACATTTATAATAGAAATTTTGAAAACTTTTGTGGTATCATGCATTATGGAAATAGAGGCCTTCAACTGCAGTCATAAATATAAAGCTCAAGTTTGTTTAGGCAAATCAAAAAAATTTGTTAAATAAAAAACCTCAGCATAGCATCTCTCAACTTTCTGCCAAAATATATCAACATCTTTAAAGTGTATTCGATGTCCCTATAGCTCAAATGGAATTAATAAACAGTTTCAGAGTGTATGGTTGAAAGTGAAGCATGGTTGAGGCAGCACAACAGACATTCTGTTCTGTAAGGTGGACCAACATTCTGATTGCCACTGTAGTTGTGTGAATTCCTTCCCACAAGATCATTGGTTATAACCTCAACATCCAGTACTCTTATATAAGGATCAATGAAAGAGTTGTCATTCTGTACAACCCTTCAAAGCCTTATATGCAGTTTTCTGCCAACCAAAATGAAAGAAAAAAACTGAAAACTTTACCTTGTGATTACCATTCATCTGACTAGCACTTGTTTTCATTTTGACTGAACCATACTTCATCAGATTAGTAAGATCCATTTTCAATTTATATGACTCCTTTTTGAATACAAAGGTGAAATCAGTTTGCCCTGATCGATACTTGTAAAAACCTAGAAAACTGTAATTTTTTGGCTGTGTTGTGTTGAAATAGGTACTCCACATTATAGATTTTTCTTTGGTAATAGATATGAAAAAATGGAAAACGAAAAAATTTTTTTTACTTAAATTGCATGAGCACATGTATTAATAACACAAATGCAAACAATCATATTTTGTATAGTTACCCATTGTTATCACTCCACATTTATGTAAGATGTTTAGGTTACTGTATAAAAAAAAAACACTTCTTTTTCATATGTTTATTAACAAAAAAAAAAAAAAATTTTTTAAGGGTAGAGTTCAGTTACACAGTATATCAGATAGAAATGGATGGCAAAATGTGTCGATCATTGAAACAAAAATACGGCACAACCATGATT